GGCGTCGGCGTCGGCGTCGGCGTCGGCGTCGGCGTCGGTGTCGGCGTCGGCGTCGGCGTCGGCGTGAGCATCGGCGTCGGAAAACCGCCGCGTCGGCGGCGACAGCGGCCCCCGAGGAGAATGAAAAGGAGGAGGAGGAGCAGGAGAAGCAGGAGGAGGAAGAGTGGGGAGGAGATCAGAGGAGGAGGGAGGAGGAGGAAGAGGAGGAGGAGGAGGAGCATGAGGAGAAGGAGGAGGAGGAGGAGGAAGAGGAGGAGAAGGCGGAGAAGAAAGAGGAGGAGGAGGAGGAGGAGATAGGACGAGGAGTAAGGTGAGGAGGGACAGGAGGAGGAGGCAGAGGAGAAGGCGAAGGAGGAGGAGGAGGAGGAGGAGGAGGAGTGGGGTAGGAGGAGAGAGGGGGAGGAAGAGGAGGAAGAGGTGGAGGAGGAAGAGGAGGAAGAGGTGGAGGAGGAGGGAGGAGGAGGAGATAGGAGGAGGAGGAGGAAGAGGGAGGGGAACGAGGAACTAGAATTGCCCAGGTTGGAAGGTGTACGAGGGAAAGCATGGCGGCAATAAGATATAAACTGCAAGGTGCTACTCTTCACGTAGATATGCGTCGACGCTCGGGCCAAACAGCGGCGACCTCTCCTATGTGAGTCGGGGTTGCGCGGGCGATCGAACAGCTCTGGCGGAAAAGAGAGACCAAAGGAAGAAGGGGGGCATAATTGTCAAACCACAAGCACGTTCTAGACCCGGCAGGGAGTCATCGGCGCTGTCTGACCTGACGGGCGCGCGCGTGGGGGCGCGAGCTCACCCACTGCACTGGCGAGCCCGCTCGTGCTCTTAAGAGCGGCACTGGAGGAGCTCATACGCGTGAGTGATGAGAATGTGACTTACCATGTGCCGCAGTGTGTGACGCTGGTGACCTCGGCCCGCAGACATGATGTCTGATACCCTGCCCTGAGACTTAGGCAAGAAGATGGCCCCGGGGCCACGTGCCTGGCGAGGTGGAGGTGCAGTGCATTGACCTGGTAGATGGGAAAGAAAGTGATGGATCGAGGTAGATTTTGAGGGATGTGCTCGCTATTTTGGCACGATCGCCTCACGATCCGTGGGACACGTCCGATCACGACCACCGAAGCGACCTCCTCGCTGGGCGCGTCGGGCTCGGCACTGCCCTTGGGCGAGGGCTGTTGCTGTGGCTCGTTGGCGCTAGCCGCGCGGAGGGCCGGGAGGCGGTCTTCGGAAGCCGAGCCCCCCCCCAACGAAAAAACGACGGCTGTCGCGGTGTTTGGGCGAACGACAGCCGCGACGTTGTCAGGAGGAGAAGGAGGAGGACGAGGAGGAGGAGAAGGAGGATGAGGAGGACGAGGAGGAGCACGAGGAGGAGGAGGAGGAGGAGCAGGAGAAGGGGGGGGGAGGAGGGGGAGGAAGCACGAGGAGGCGGAGGACGAGGACGGGGACGACGACGGCGCACGCGCACGCGCGCCTCGGAGGTTCGCGAGCTGTGCCCCGCCGTGGTGGGCGGCGTGGAGTTGCTGGAGCCGCTCCTGCATCCTGGCCTGGGACCGCTGGAGCTCCTCGGGGGCGGGGGGGCCCAAGGCCCAAGGCCTCGGCCTCGGCCTCGGCCTCGGCCTCCTCCTCCTCCTCCTCCTCCTC